GCTAATTTTTTTCTATTTTTAGTAGAGACGGGGTCTTGGCTCTTGCTCATGCTGCTCTGAAACTCCTGAGCTCAAAGGATCCACCCTCCTTGGCCTCCCAGAGTGCTAGGTAGACTTTTTTATTGATTCATTTTCGTTAATGGCTAATGACTCATTCAGACTTTCTATTTCTGCTTGAGTCACTTTTGATTAATTTTCTAAAAAATAAAATTACTCTTATTGGTATATTTACACTTTTGTTGTAAATCTGTTCAAAGTATTTTTGTGTGTTTTAAAAAAATCTTTATCTCCAGCTGTAATTATTTCCCCTTTTTGATTCTTAGTATTTTTTGGCACCTTTCTCCTACCTTGACCAATTTATTGCATTAGTTTATGCAGAGGAGGTTTTGGTCTTGTTAATGTTCTTGTTTCCTTCCTCCCTCCCTCCCTTTTTCTCTCCTTCCTTCACATTTATAGTGGAGGAAAGTAAGTGAAAAGGGATTGAGAATGGTTACTGAGAAAAGCAATCTACATCAGCCGTACTAATTAGGACATTTTGATATGTAGCATTTCCATTATTAAGCTGTTCTAAATATTTTTTGAAATTTCTATTTTTACTCTTTAATTCATGAAATATTTGGAATGCATTTTTAGTTTTTAAACATAATTGTTTTTACTATTTTATTTTACTGTTGCCTATGTGGACAGAAAAAAAAATCGAAACTGAAATATTTGAAAGAGGTTTATTCTGAGCCAAATTTGAGGACCATGGCCTGGAGCCACTCTCAAGAAGCCTTGAGCAAGTGGACTTGCCGTGGCTGGGTTACAGTTTGATTTTATACATTCCAGAGAGACAGGGGTTACAGGTAAAGTCATAAATCAATAAATACATGGGAGGCATACATTGGTTTGGCCCCAAAAGGCGGGACATCTCAAAATAGGGGCTTACAAATCATAGGTGGATTTAGGGATTCATTAGTTGACCATTGGCTGAAAGAGTTAGGCTTTGTCCAAAAGACCAGGAATCAGTTGAAAGGAATGTTTGAGGGTCTTTTATCTATCACGTGATGCTATACCAGAATCAGGTTGGGAAGTAAACAACATCATAAAAACCTGTTTACTGAGATTTTATCATTTGTAGGCATGACTCCTCTGGCCTCCTTAGGAAGAAATTTTGAGCAAAAGAAAAAGATTGGAGTTTAGTCCTCAGTTATAATCATATATTCTTTCTGTAGAACGTGGGTGGCATGATATGTATTCTTTTAGGTTGATTTTACTTTGTGACCTACCACAAGGTCAGTTGAAAAAAATATGTTTGCTTGAAAAAACTATATATTCTTCATTGGAAACTTATATTTTGTGTGTGTGTATAATTTTGTTATTAAAACTTATAATATCTCTACCAATATTTTGTCTGTTTTATATATAATCTCTCACTATAAAGGTGGATTTTTCCAATTCTCTTTGTAATTCTGGTTTTTTTTTACATATAAACATT